GATAGTTTAATTGAATCAGGTAAAGAATTCCATAAATCAACTATTTTGTTTCTGGTAGAAAATTTTGCATAATTTGTTCTTATTGATTTTTTGTGTAATTTTTATTGTTTCTTGTATTATAATTATGAAAGCTGTTATTTTCGACATTGAACTCAAATGAATTGTTATCTATTTTCAGATATTTCTATCAAGCTTTGTTCTCTGATGGCTGATTTTATTCGATGGCCAATATTTAGCCTTTTAGATACAGAAGTTCTTGATACCATTAAGCTTGCTTGTGTATTTGGTAGTTCTGGAAATGAAGCAATATTTGTTACTCATGATGACAATGTATTTGCAATTGGTTCAAATCTCAGCAGCTGTCTTGGCACTGGAGATTCTCAAAACTGTTTACAACCAAGGAAGGTTGAATTTCTTTGTCAGAAAAAAGTGTCATATTTAACATTTGGCACTGGGCCACATATGATGGCTTTGACAGGTAAATATTAAACAAGCTAGTATTCTCTGTTATAGCAGCCTACATTGTAACAAAGGCTACCGTCATAGTTCCCTGGCCCACCTTGAACATTAGCTGTGCCTTTGAAACAAATCCAGATGACTTGYGAACTTGTAATGACAGATACCTGCAAATAATTCTCCACCAGTTGGCATGGTTACCTTTCAAGAAGGCTCAGGGAACCATGAAGGAGACTATTGTATTATGCCCTGTTTATTTGATCATCATTTGTGATTCAGTGAATCAGATGTTAACAAAGAATCATAATTGACATTTGAACAGAGCAAGGTGAGGTGTACTCATGGGGACACAATGCTTATTGTCAAGTTGGAAATGGTAACACAAATCAGAACCCTGTCCACACACCTGCATTTCTAAGTTCCTTGCAGTCTAAAAAAATTACACAGATTGCTTGCGGTAGCCATCATTCCTTGGCTCTCACTGGTGAAGGAGAGGTAAAGAAACAATCGCAAATAACACATCTTGTTCTTGATTTTTCTGGGTGGGTTTTAGTTGATTCTTTTCTTTTATTCTTTTTTTTTTTTGAATTGGATGACTACATAAAAGATAATAAGTCCAATTTTTAACACAATCTCAAAGCAAATGGAACTGGATATGACTGACACCAGCTTAACCACCATTTCCTGTTTTTGAAGGTATATGCCTGGGGGTACAATAACTGTGGTCAAATTGGCTCAGGCTCAATGACCAACCAGAGTAACCCAAGAAAAGTAACTTCCACCTTAAGTAAGCTCAAGAATTATAGTGCATTGCAGTCTGCAGTACTTTGTATAACTATCATACGATTGACATGCAATATACATGCATATTTTTATGAAACATTTGACTTGGCTTGTGTTGTTTCTGGTGTCATAGTTTTAGAGGATGATASCACTAGCGTTACCATGGATATTGTGATGTCATCAAGTAATTTTAAGATCCCAACTTTGACAGCAATGAGGTGGTATTGGAGGTCGTCCCATCATGACTATATACTAGTATTCAAGACTATAGTTTGTATTTTTAGGTAGCAAAAAGATTGTATCAGTAGCTTGTGGACAAACATCATCCATGGCKCTATCTGATGCAGGAGAGGTTAGTGTGAAAAGCTGTCTAGTTTCCATGAATATCAAACATCCYATTTCTATATCATCTAATATCATGTCAATAATATTTCTAGCTCTATGCCTGGGGATACAATGGAAATGGACAGCTTGGTGTGGGCAACAATACCAATCAACCTTGTCCATGTCGAGTAATTGGTCTTGTAGGGGTTGTCATCACACAGGTAAGTTTGTTAAGAACATTRACAAAGGCTTTAAGTGGTTTATTGATACAATGAGTGGTTGCTTTGTGTAGATCATGTGTGGTTATGCCCATTCATTGGCTCTGTCTGATTCTGGATGTCTGTACTCTTGGGGTGCTAATTCATATGGTCAACTAGGAACAGGCAACAAGACACATCTAGTGACACCCAACAAGATTGCTTCTGATAAAGGAAGGTAGCCAAAGTTCTCTCAGAATTAAAAATC